AGTCGATTAGTCGGTAGCGATTATCACTAATTACTAGTACCGAGTGAAAGAAAAAAATAAGAGAATGAGAGCGCGAACGAGAGGAAGAGAGAGAGAGAGAGAGAGAGAGAGAGAGAGAGAGAGAGAGAGAGAGAGAGAGAGAGAGAGAGAGAATGTGTGGACGAATGCGTCAGGATTTTCTTGCGGTTGCGAACCGCAACGATGGCGACCGCGCTGATCCGAACCGGGGTCGAAGGGGTCGTACAAACGAAAATACGTAACAGCTTCGGTCATCTCGGACCGAGTCTCGAATCTCCTCCGAAAAAGCAACGAGCTTCCTTTAATCACTTTTGCGAGATTTCCGCGCGTGCGCGCGGTTCCGCGACGCGCTGCGCTCCGCCACGTAGTTTGTTGTAATAACGAGGAATTATTTAGTGAATGCAAATGTGCGTACGTTTGTCCAGTACCGTGTTAAAAGATTAAAAAGAAATAAAAAGAAGAGAAAGAGAGAAGGAGGTGAGGGAAAGTATGAGAGAAAGAGCAGATACGAGACGGGAGAGGGAAGGTATGTCGCGCATACCGTCTTGCTCTCCCATTTCATCAAATGAATTTCGACGCCGGCCGCCATTGGTCCTTGAGCTATCAAATTCGTGGATCCTCGGATTCCGGGGAGAAGTCCCGCTGCCGGTGCTGTCGCCGCCATCCGGACACTCGGAGCCGCGGATCCTCGCGGATGTCCCGCGGCGAGCTTAGATCCTTCGAGCATTCTCGAATCCTTGAGACTCGCTCTCGAGAGCGTCGAGATTTCCGAATGCCCCGGATCTCTCCGGGTCCCTCGGTTCCCGTGACTTCCGAGGTTCTTGCATGCTGAACGCGGCGGTGGTTATCCGTCGCGATATCCTCATTGAGACTCATTGAGATTTGACAATTACGCTGACTCGCGCGGCGATTTGTCGCGCCGCCGAGGCGCCGCGCCGCGACTACAGAGCTCTCGCGGATCCGCGGACGCTCCGACTTCCGGTGCGCGGCCCCGGATATCCTGGCGATCGTGCGATCACGATCTCCTCTTGCAAAAGGTTCGGCTCGCGCGAATTTGGTCTCGCAAGGCGCGGTTTTCGCGCATGCCGCTCTTAGTAGACGCATTCGGGAATCGCGAAACGTATTCCCGGGAGGGTCGTGCGCGATCCCTCTCTCGAGAGTGAAAGAGATGGAGAAAAAGAATGAGAAATAGAAAGAAGGAGAGAAAGTGTGAGAGAGAGAGAGAGAGAGAGAGAGAGAGAGAGAGAGGGGGAGTGAGTGTTTCGAAGTTCGTGATGTATTGTACGCGCTGGTATTTTTTCGGTGTTCCGCGACGATAGAGTGTAAAATTAGAGGTGAATAAATAAAAATGAAAAAAAAAACACAGATCGCGGCGCCGCAGCCGGCGCCGTTATACATAGCTATTTACATAAGCAAGAGAGAAACGGCGTCGTAATGTGTATAGATAAAATAATTTTGGGATGCGCGCGACGCGAAATGCCGTGAGAGTCGATGACGTTATTACCGCATGACGGATAATAACACAATTAATTATTATTAACGATTACAATTAAATATTATCCTGATTATTATTAGAGACGTATGAAAATTTATTACTGCGACCACGAAGCTCGCAAGGAAAAAAAGTAAGGAACTTTTTTTTTGGTCTTTTATCGCAAGGAAGACACGAAACAAAATATATAAGCGTTTGTAAGTCACACATGAAACACAAGCAAAAATAAGTTAACGAGAGAAAGAGTGAACGAATGAGAGGGAGAGAAAGAGAGAGAAAGAGAGAGAAAGAGAGAGAGAGAGAGAGAGATTTAATGTGTGTGAGAATGAGAGGGAATGTGTGTGAGAGAATGGACGAATGCGAGAAAATGTGTGCAAACTAACGAACGAACGAACGAAAGAGCGAGCGAGCGCGAGAAAGAGAAAGAGAGAGAAAGAGAGAGAGAGAGAGAGAGAGAGAGAGAGAAGGAGAGAGAGAGATAAATGCGTGAGAAACATTAGTTCCGTTTTTGAGTGTTGAGAATGTTCATTTGTAATTGTTTAAATCTAATGAAAAATATACTGTAAAATTATAAGTACTATAGGCACTAAAAATATATCATTTGTTGACATGAAAAAATAAAAAAAACACCAAGTGGTATGTATTCTATTCGCCGTTGCACGCGCGCGCGCCATCGATGCGTTTATCGCGTGCGTGAGGTCCCATTTTGCTCGGATGATAACGACGCCACGAATTAAAATGCAAAATGACATCGCGTTGCCGCATTCGTTGGACAAAGTTACAGAGTTATCATTTAAAGTGAACCAATTAAAATACACGCGCGCGCGCGCACACACACGCAATCGATGCGTTATCGCGCGTCTGAAACGCATTCCGTTTGAATGATAAACAAGCCGCGTCGAAACCATAAAATCACAAATAATACGTGTAAGCGTAACGTATAGGATGCATAAACAACATGGGAGCGAGTTTCTATAGATATGACCTTCCTTCTTTTGTTTATTTACTTGATGCCGAATAGAACCGAATGAATAGACGAGCAGCTCGAGGCTGCTCGTAAGCGCTAAAAAACAATAGATAGCGTAACGATGATATAATATAATTCAGACGGCCGTCGGTGGAGGTCGAGCGGGATACGAAGACGGAGTGCTAGAACACCTTCGAGTCAGGCTTTCGCGCAATTATCTCACGCGATAATTCATCAAAAACGGCGGTTCGAATGAGTATGCGCACATTCGAACCGCTGGCGGGTAGTCGGAGATCTCCAAGGAAAAGCGCACGAGGAAATCACCAAGGTGGATCCCAGCCTAAAGCTCAGCATCCAGCACCAAGAGGCACAATGGACATCAAGGGGAAGCGCACGAGATGTCCCTCCCTCAGTCCCTCCCTCAGATCACTTAGGTCATACCGGACCCCCCGAGAAAACGCGCGGCCCCGAGAAAAAGCCCGGTCTGGCGATCAAGCAAACATCCGACTGAATCGGACCGGATCGGATCGAAGGGGAAACGCACGACGACACCGGTATGCGGAATTCAGAGAAATCAACTAATTGTGTAAGGGAACAATGCTCAACCCCGGTCACCCGTTGAATATTAGGAATATTAGGAAACAATGATTCGATTAACACTCACCGGTCTTCTGCACGAGTGGCGCGATGGCACTCGTCTACTTCGGGCATCCAACAGCGACTAACTGCCTACCTCTATCGCTTTTATGATCCGCGTCTCTATTTTCCAAACGTAAACACATCGCATTCCCCAGCATCGATCTCGCGGCGATCGTTATTGTTTTTCAACGCTCCGAACGCCCATTTCGGATTTTCATTTGCAATACTCACACCTCGTACGATATGAATGGTTAGGTATTAAAAACAAGAATCAATTCAGTATTTTTATTACAATTATATGCTTTTGTTCAAAGGTATACACACAACAACAGATCGACGGCATTCTTTAGAAAAGAGAAAAAAAGAAAAGGAAAAAGGGGCGAGAAACAAGCAAAGAGAAAGAAAGAAAAGAGGATATTTGTCTCGCATATGATAGATCCCGTTTATAGTTAGACAAAATTCACGCCAACAATCGCGGTTGCGTGTCACGACGGCGCCGTGTCGAGCACGCCATTTCTCCATGTCGCATCGCGTTCCTTCCTTTTCCTTTCCATATTTTTATGTCTTTTACAAAAGTCATCTGATTATCGTGCGGTTGCATCGGAAATACCGTGCACTTAGAGGGAAACGATGCCTCTGAGGGTCGTGAAGATCGAAAGTCGTGAAGAAGGTAAGTGACATTTCAACGGCATTTGCGTGCAAAACGTTCTCATAACACGCGTATATTCGCTATTTACAGCCATAATTTACGTCCATAATTTAAAGACATAAAAAGAAGTTGGTACGCCAGCCAGCACCGTCGCTGATCCGGTCGCGAGTCCGCGAGCGGAACTATCGCGGAGCGTTGTATGTACGTATCCACGAAGAAGACTAACAACGTATAAGATACATATAACTATAATCTAGTATCATCGTGAGAAATATTCACGCACAAGCAACGTGTTCCCCCCCCCCTCTCCCCTCCGTCGAGTCTCCACGTGCCGCAATATCAACAAGGATACGTTTGTGGAAGTGTTCTTCACCGGTTTGCTTTCAATATCCTGCTTCTGCAGCAGAGCAGCTAAAAATAAGAGACACGTATATTTTTTTATATGTGCTTTCGTCTCTTGATCATACGAAAGAACATCTTTGAAATCACGAAATATACGAAAGAAAAATGGTCTTACGAAAATATACTTGATATACTTTATTGCATTCGCCGTGCATTTTTAGAAAATGTCACGCTTTTCAACGTATCCCAATTTTTTACGATTGTTTTTACCAGTTAGAAAACTTTGATAAGACCAAAATTAGAGCCTATAATAGAAGCCAGATGAAACCATAATAAAATCATAATAAAATTATTTTCTGAAGCGACATTCTTCTCTTAAAAAGATGAATCGCAAACACCGTGCTATAAGTAGATGCAGACGGAATATGAGACGCGACGCATCTTTGCGCAGACTACTTTACAATACAGAGTTTATAAATCGTATTCTTAAAATGCAATTTCAGAAAATAATTACATCATATTTACGCATAACCGAAAAAATGGAATTAATTCCATATGCTTGATATGGGGTTAGGTAGGTTGAAAATATTCATTCAAGTAGTACGTATCAACGATAAATCTGATATCAGGAAAAAGTTCGAATTTCATAAACTTTCCTTTCGTGCAAGATAATATTGACTGTAAAGAGATCAGACAATTGAGAAATCGATGTTGAATAACAAAATATAATAAGAAAAGTATTTATTGAATGTATAATTAAATATTATATATATACAATAGTAATAACGATATATATCAATGATGACAACGTTGATGACAATGATGAAATAGACTATTATATGATAAAAATTATATAATAAACTATATATCATGTATATACTATATATATATATATATATATATATTTATTGTAGGAGGTTGTTCAATCGTTTCTTCTTACAAAGAAATACTTTTACGTGTCACTCATCAATTTTGTATACTTCAAATATGTTATATTCAAAGTACTAGAAATAACGTTTAATATTTCGCATAAATGTGATATGTAGTCATAACGCGCCGTGCAGCATTCATGTCTAAAACTCATATTCTAAAAATACAGCTTTGGAAAATAATATTATTACACACATAAGTGGAAACTTGGTGTGAAATTTTCTTCATCTTTCATCATTACAGAAATTTTAAAATTTGTAAGAATAATAATGCAGGGTAAGGATATGTTGAGAAACATCACACACATTTATGAAAAATTTAATTGCATAATTTTTAAGTCAATAGCATATATTTCACAATTTCGAAGATATCCTGTTGTAATCAAATATATGAAATTACTTTCGAGAGATTGCTAAAAACATGCGATAAAAAACATATATCTTCTATTTTCAGTTGCTCTGCGATGTATCCAAAACCCGTCAAACTGGTCGAGGGACACGCCTGAATGTTTCCCCGTAAAACATCGACTACCTTCTACAAATGTTATAAAAATAGCACGGCGCCTCTCGCACCGCTGCTCTCGGCCGTTCTCTTGTTTCGATTAACACTCAAGTCGTCGCTTAGAACGTACCTAAAAGGAAATATTGTAAAGCTAATATAATCAGTTAATATATTCAAGTCAATATCCATATGTACAAAGATAAAATTCACTCGGACTATCGAACGTGCAATACACTTGTCAAAGCTTAGACAATATCGCAGGATAGGAAAAATAATAAAATCGAAGCTCAAAAGGAAGACACGACAATTAATTATTATTAATAATAATTTTCCAAGAGGCACCAGGCTGTATTGTATCGCGTGCAATCGACAAATTTCTCCGCGGCTAATCGGCAGTTTATTCAGATGGAACCCACGCACTTCATTAAACAGGATTGTTTTCTAGCACGCTGTTTTCTACGCGCTCACTAGCTTATTGTTCACAGAGAGATACTCTCGTCGGAATAGCGGACGCGAGCATATATGCATATATGCATGCTCGTGCACACGCACGCTCACGTATATATCACCGAATAAATAATTGCAAATACAGGATCCGCGCGATTGGAAAAATTCCGCTCGAGTTTGATCGCTCCTGACAAAATTCACAAAAGAGGCGTCCGCGTTATCACAATACACTGGCGGGTCCGCTGAATCGCTACAACGACTGTCGCTATTGCTGCTGTTGCTGCTGTTGCTGCTGCTGTTGCTGTTGCGTAGGGTTGCTGATGGTCTCCATCTTCTGCTCGTTCTCCTGACTCGGCGAGTCCTGCTGCTTCGTCTTTTCTTCGTTGGTGTCCTTCGTCAGCGGTGCCAGCAATGCGTTCAGCAGGCCTGGTAGATAAAGTGTTACTATTGTCAGAAAAATCACAGGAGCGATAGCTTTCTCTTGAGTAACTAATAAATACTTGAGAATAAATTGACTTTAGACGCGTCTCATTATTTCATTACTTATCGATTAGAAACAATTGTGTCTCACTCACCGACGGTTTCTCCTTTGAACGAAGTTCCTACGCAAAAGAAAGTCGTCCGATTAGACACATCGTTATCGCAGACAGCTCGTTCTTTCGAATGCCCGCAGTGCAATCTTGCCGAGCGTTACGCTTCATCTTCCTCTCGGCTCGTCAAAGCCTTCTCTCTTCGCGCGGAATAATTTCTTATTTTCGCAAGAAGCGAATCATATGAAAAAAAAAAAAAAAAAAAGAAATGCGCTCCTTCCAATCAGTGCAAATGTATGAAATCTGATAAATTGCCGAATTTGTCTCTCGAGACCGCAACAAGAGCAATTTCTCATTCGTCGCCCGAGAAGCTCCCACTAGCGCGATTTCCTTGTCGCGTTGGAGGAAAGGAACGATTCACCGAAGCAGAAAATATCGCAGTGTCGCAGAGCTCAATTCCGGATCGTCTCGATGGCGCATCAGTGAGAACTGGAAGCAACGCGCGCGAAACCGTGACGAGACCTCGGCCACGACGGCCAACGTCGACCAACGTCGCCAAGCCAACGTAGAGCCGAGACGTCCCGGGAATGAAGACTCCTCCAGCGCGAGCGAAGGTCAACTTACACTCACCGTTACCGCGATACTTGTTTAGCTGTTGATACACCTGCTTCATCCGCTCGATGTTGATGCGCGAGCTTTTGCTGTGGTTCACCATCGGCAGCGAGTACTCCTTGCCGACGATGCACTTGGCCGCGTGCTGTATGCTGAGCGGTGCGTTCCACGGCTCGTGGATGTATCTGGTCGGGAAGTTCTTCAGCACCGGCAGATAACGCCTGGTCTCGACAATGCAACGCGATAGGATCGGATTAGGTTTAGGATTTGCGCGTTCCCTCGCGCACGTGCCGCGTCGTTTGCAATAAGCGGGTAAGCCCGACTTTAGCCCTTTAAGCGAGCTGTCATTCGATGAATAAGGCTAAAAATCACTAAACTTCTATAATAAAGTAACTAGAGAATAAATAATTGATTGGTGATGATCAACTTAACCCTTTAACCTGGCCTGGTTAACTATAGTTACCTGGTTAACTATATAGTTACCAGAAACGCATTTAAGAATATCCGTAACTTTGTCCAAAGGGGGATATTTTCGTTTTCTTTGCTTACCACTGTAAAGGTGAATTCTTCTTGTAAAAAATGGTATATAGATTGTATGTGGATTCGGTTTAGTCTGTTTTTAGCTCAGTTTTAATGATAACGTGCTTTGTCAAATTCCAAGTAGGCATAGTTGCTGACATCTAGAAGTGAACACTATAAATGAACAGATTGGTGTCTGTTATAATTTTATACATTTGGAAGCTCATTTCTCAGATGCAAAATGTGAAATTAAAAGAATACAGAAATTGAAAATGGCGAATCCAATATAGTGGACACGAAAATCAAGAAATCAACCTATTTTCGTGAAACCTGGTGACCTACGTCTTTTACGCGTTTTTTATGCGGCGAAAAATGAAGGGAAGATTGACTATCTAAATGTTGATCTATAAGATATTCTTCTGAAATAGTAAGCTTCTGACGCTCTGAATGATAAACTTCACTCACAAATATAGTAAAGTTTCAGCTGAAAAATGTCAAGCTAACTGTCAGAGTTATGTCGTATAGATTACCCTTCATTTGTCTCTGTATAGGTTGCCCATTTCGTATATGCTTTTAGGACCCAAGTCACATTTACCAATAAACAAAAAACGAACGATAAAAGAAACCAATATAAAATTCTGATATTTTTTTTGGTCATCGCTACTTATAGTCTCAGTTCAAAAAGACTCCAATTTTATTCTTAAAACACTTATAAAAAAGTCGGGCGTTAAAGGGTTAACGAAAATAAAATTCTACAGCCTCTCTTTTCTCGAAAAAACGGAGGCAATGGACCGAGATGAAAGGAAAAGACCTGATTTATTACTGTCGCTGAAATACACGTAAAAGAACGTGAACGTAAATGACCATCGCAACAGCTGATAAGCTGTTGCCTGTCTCGAGAATGGTGGGAGCAAAGGATTAACGATAACAATAACGAGAGTGAAAATAATCGTTCCCCCGCAAGATCCTACAGCTAGGCGGAAGCAACGGGATTTCTTTCGCGGGATTCTCGGGGATTATCGGCAACTCGTGAAACATACACGAGTAACGGAAATCTGTCGCTGCGCTGCGTTTAATATCGGTGACATTAGAGGGAAAGATTGAAACAGAACGTATCGATATCCGATTGAGATACGCAGGACGAAATTCACTCGCGTTTGCGCGTTTGGCGATGGTTAACGACTTCGTTTCGCGAAGAAATTAATGATTTAATGAACTTGACCGCCGCCGCCGTCGTCGTCGTCGTCATCAGCATCGTAGTCCCGTCGTAGTTGATTCGCCGCGCGACAATCTTTCGCACGATTAACCTTTAATACGACTAAGCTTCCATTTAACCTTCCATTTATCTTGCGGCTGAACTTCACCTCGCTGCGGGATTAACGGCCGATACGTTGGAAATTAAAATCAATCAAGATTAAAATTTCCATTAGTCCGGCCATAGCCATAGCGAGAAATTAATCACCGAGCTAGCGGGCGTAGTACGCGCAGTCGTTGCACGACGCTTCAGATCGCCGAGGAGAACGCCGAGTCGGCGATCGAATCGAGCGCGAGTGACGCCTCGTCGTTTCGTTACCTGATATAATCGCCGTTTGGATCCGCCTTCCTGCCGAATCGCACCGGGCAGTAGCAGTGGAAGAACTGCTGGAAGAACGAGCTGCACGACAGCCACATCCACATGCCAGCATTAACGGACCAGTCGGCGTCCAACAGCAGCTCGTCGAACACCTGGAAGGCAGATAATCGGCCCCAACGTTAAATCCGGTGAAACGAACGAACGACCGACAAGCCGCTAAGCGTGCGAGGGCCTCGCGATCACTTTACAATCGACGATCTACTCGTTAATGAGCGCTTCCCAATTCCGCAATTAGACGAGCCGCTTCGTCGTGACAAGGCGAAGCACGAGCGACTCGATTTTGTCGTTTCAATTCGCTCGCCGAAGCTCCCGCTGAATTCACGATTACACGAGATCGAAGGATCTTGAACTACGGAGTTCGCACCACGCGTACTTTCGGCGAAGTCGTATACAATACAGGAGGAAAAGAATCCCGAGGCAGAAAGTGCTTTCTCTCTCTCTCTCTCTCTCTCTCTCTCTCTCTCTCTCTTGCGGAAAGAGGAAGCTCAGAGAGGAGGGAAATTCGCGTTAACGGCAAGAGCGAGCGCGCCAATGCGGAGAAGAGAGAAAAAGTGAGAGCGCGCACGCTGCTACGAAATGCCAAGCGTGCCGTGACATTTTACCTTCATTCCTTCCTCCCATGAGATCCAAAGGTCGCCCCTGGTCAGGAAGCAAGCCACCGCGTGTCTGGCTAGATGATGTATCCAGCCCTCCTCCCTCAGTTGAGTCATAATCGCGTCGATCCACGGGAAACCTGTCTGGCCCTGGCGAGAACATGACAATATCAGTTCAGTTTCGCGATCGTAGTTGGTGCTTTCAATTACGCGATCGCGCGAAAGCCGGATGTCATCCCGAGGACGACGAGGCGACTCCTATTTGGAAAGCGAACACGCCCGGGAAGCAGATTTTCGAGATTTTCGCGATATCATTGCGAAATTGACGATCTCTCTCTCTCTCTCTCTCTCTCTCTCTCTCTCTCTCTCTCTCTTCGGCCTCCTTCTCCGTTGGAGAGGTCGTCGCAAAGACTGGACTTCTTCCAACGCAACGCGCCAACATTTTGACCGTCCCCCATAGATTCTTATGGAATATTCGGGGGAGTTTCGCCAGAATTTCGAACAATCAAACGTACAGCGAACGAATGCAATTCCCAACGTGCATGCTCCTTGTCTCTCATCTTATTGGCTTCCCATTGGCTGTACTGTGTCTAATCGAGCGGATGCGAGTGTGTATTGTGCATAAATCAATAAGGCACGTCGGTATTGTGACAACAGTCACCCGGCGCGGCGACCACGGTGGCGGCCAATGTGTCAAACGGAGGTGAACTTTAACACAGCGCAGCGTCTTTGCCAGCAGCGTCATCGACGTGTTATCGACGATACTAAAAATGCAGTCTCTTCCGCACAACGACGTGAAATCGCGAGCGTTGTTAAAAATAACGATGTAACAACCGATGCGACATAATTAGACGGGCCGACTGTTTGCGATGGATCCAGCGCGATAAATTAATATCGTATCGAGAAAGTTGAAACGCCGTTAGCGCGCGCGCGCGGTATCTCCTCCCTTTCAGTTGTTTGTGCTTCTTGAGCGTTCGCCGAGGGAGGAGGCCGTTCTTGTAGGTATAAGGGAAGCGCCAAAGCGTCGTCGCGAAAGTAACTTCCGTCTGTGGTCGGGTGCGAAAATCCACTCACGTTTGCCCACTTTGCCAGCGCCTCTACGTTCTTGTCCCACGGTATCTGCACGCAAATCGGGTTACCCTGCATTCGATCAAAGTTCGGGTTCTTCGTCGCGGCGCAGTAAAAGAACTCGCGCCAGAGGAGCTGGCCGTGCAGCGACAGCGGCGGCATCGCTTTCTTTATCTGGAAGAAAGACCGTTGACGAGGTACTCGAGGAAGCCGTTCGTCGACAAAACTGCATCGAGAAGCAGGGGATCCGCATGCGATATGTATTATTTTATTTCGTCACGTGTGAATCAGAGAGGCGCCGCCGTTGGTTGTAATTTCATACCCTCCGGAGCGATTTAATTATTAGGTTAAATGTGAATTAATTGTCGCAATGCGTCACGAAGCACGAAGGAAGGAAAATATCGCGAGAATTTATTTTTCGTCGGATGACGGAAGGTTTAAGGGAATAATCAACGTGGCTCAAATTCGATCATTGTGTATCGTAATCGGGATACGAATTTCAAATAAACAGACGCAAGAAAGTAGCTCATCGAGCCAAAAGCTACGAGTCGCTTCTCAATTATTGGAATCAATGCTAAAAAATGAGAGGTATGACAGGTCGGAAAGGAACGAAGAAGAAGCTCCCATCCTAACGCTATATTTTTTTTAGGAACTTTTATATTATTTCCCCGCCGCTATACGAGCTTCTGCATAAAGCACGAAACTTTCAGGGAGGACAAGCCGCAGAAATAAAAATCCGCCGGTATAATTAATGTGTCTCCCAAGTTTCATTTAATTATTACAGCGAAGTTTCAAGTCGGAAGACGGCGGCGGCGGTAGGGAGGGGATCTAAAGCAGGGGGAAGAAGGAGAAGGAGAAAGTGAAAGAGAGAGAAAGAGACAGAGAGAGGGGGGAAGGAGGTGGGAGAGGAGGATTTCGAGGGAAAACTTCCACGATATATCCTCGCGGCGCGCGCTCGGTGCATCGCATTATCGACGGCCGCCAGGAGGTCTCCCCCATGTACCTTCTTATACAGATCGGTGAGCTGGTAGTAAAACAGCCGCGTGCTGAGACACCCGAATCGCAAATAAGGCGAGAGCCCGGTCTGACTCGGCAGCAAGGACTGCGGCGTCATCTTCGGTCTGCCGAAGCTCGCCACCCACGCCTTCCGCTCGAGGTGACGCTCGAGCCGCGCCAAAGCCTCGCTCTCGCCGCCGACCCACACCGGAGGCAGCAGACCCTCCGTGTCGAAACCTGGAAGCAGCATGGGAACGCTTGAGCGAAGGCGAATGTTTCGTCGCGCCGAGACATTTCGAGAAGAAAAGCGGCAGAGAGAGAGAGAGAGAGAGAGAAGAAGAGTTTCATTAGTTGCCCGCTACGCGATATTAAATATTTCGCGATAATTAACCTGGATGTTGAAATTTTGAAAAAAAAAAAAAAAACGGACTCCACTGTAGATTTAAAGCGAGTAATCAAATTTCGTTATTTAACTGCGCCCTAGAATCCGATTTCGCGGAGAGCCGGCGCGCTCTCGCAAAGACCGGCGTGAATAATGTCGCCCGTACTTTCATCAAGTCGGATCGAAATTGATCAAAGAATCCGTCGTTAAAATTAAAGTCGTCAGTAGTTAGGACAATTACGGCGGAACGTAACACGACGTTAGACGTTTCGCGACGTCGCGAATAATTGCGAGAAAAAAATGAAAGGGGCGAAAGCTGTGCGCGCTTTCGGAATAATACGCGCTGGCATTTGATAGCAATGAAAAAAGCGAAGTAACAGAAAGCGAGCGACATTTGAAAGTAAGGGAAACCAGGAAGCTAGGACGAACGTTGTAATGAGTCAAAGACGAACGATTAGCACTATTACACGCCGCATGTACCGAGACGCTCGACATTTGCGCGATGATCAGAGAACAATCGGCCGAAGTGGTTAATAATCCACCACATCGTGCGCGAAAGCGAAACATCCGACTTTCTTCTTTCTGGCCGATCTCGCTCGTCGCGTTCGCCGACCCTCCGGATTCGAATAATAATACACGAATTTCGACGTAACGTCAGCTGCGGCATGACATTCGCTATCGACGCACGATAAACTCGCATTACATGCAGCGGTAACACTTGATTACTCCCTCACGGGCAGCGCGTTAATGCTGCAACGGCTAATCTGCCGCGAATGAATTTTCCACGCTGCGGTGCGACGGACTCGCATTAATTCGTAGCCGGTTGGCCCGGAATATTCCGTCGGAAATGCATCAGGTTATTACCTAATATCAGCAAAACAAGCGAGCCGTCCGTTCGTTGTCAATGACAACTGTCGTCGCTCGTGTAATTGCGATCACTGATCGCGCGAGCGTCCGAAGCGATCCTTCAATCCGCCTCAAGCTGCGATTCTGCCCGACCCGAGCCGACTCATCGGCGAGGCTGCCGTTTCGAAAACGAAAAGTTTATCGACACAATCGACCGTCCGCTATCGACGGTAAATCGTATTCTACTTTAGTCGCTCGTTACGCATTTAATTAGATAACGCGGGACCGGCTTATCGCGGAACGTTAAGCTTATCGATAATATCGATCTTTTCTTACCAAGTTCCTCAAGGGTGGGCACGCCGTAATGGTCGTCGTGATCGTCCTTGAGAGGAGTATAGGCGCTGCCGATGCAGGCGGAGGTCACCGTCAGTACCGGCGGTTCCGGCGGCTCCATGCTGGCCACGACGTTTTGAAATTGATGGTAGGTCAACGGCGGTTTCCCACCATTTTTCTCTATGATTCTGAAATATGCAGTGTGACGAAAGAGAAAAGAGAGAGAGAGAGAGAGAGAGAGAGAGACGCGAAATCACTTGCGGCAGCCGAGGTATTCATCGGCAGATTTCATCGCCGGTTGTTACACATGACTTATTCATTATGCAGTTCATTATTCATTATTCATAGTGCAATTACAAATTCGTAATTTTCATGCGTGACGAAGCGAATAAATGAAAATGACTGCGAATATTCATCCTTCCTCGGGCGAAAAAAAACTTGAGAAGATAATCAGTCGTGTCTGACCAAAGTGCGATTTCAACCAAGCAAATTTTTACCAGACATTTATTTCTTTCCGAATTTCTGCCACACTTGCATCGCGCAATTGGACCGTCGACTCAGATTGATCTCGGACACGGCCGCTAAGATCTGCGTGGTAAGTACTTACTCGTCCAATTTGTAGAGAGTATGCGAAACCCTCTGGACCACCGAGATGCCGAGCTCCTTGCAGAGCGCCGAGATGTTGTGATCCCGTACGCGACCGAACGGTTCTGGATCCTCTTCGAAGGTCAGGTTCGTCGTGCCCCATTCCTTGAAGAGCTTGGGCAACGCGTCGGCGGGTTGGCCTCGGATCACAAACAAGCGCGAATTGAGTTTCCTCAGGGAGCAATCCAGATCCTCCAGGCACTGCAGCAGAAACCTACAGAAACAGGATGTGTGAGATAAAGTAATCGAGCGTCCGGATGATCCGAGTTACTAGGTATTTCGATGGAGCTTCATGAATTCTCAGTAGATCTCGCGTCTCTGGGACGAGATTGCGGGGATATATCTTGGCGATAATTTCACTCGGCGGAATTATTTCGGCTTTCCACCGTAGCGCGTTTAATTATTTAACAACGCGTGGCTGATGCGTAATTATCGCGGTACTCATCTCGGTAATTTCATCTCGAATAATAAACGACAGTTGCGATAGAAATGCCGAAAGTTGAAAAACAATAAAATTTTTGATTATTTTCGTCGTTGAATATCGGAGACTGTGGTCCCTCCTGAAATCGCAAAGAACGATTAGCGACAACGACAACGAACGGTGTATTTCTCGTGACACTTTGCGAAATATCTGCGCTGCGATCAAGTCGGACGTCATTCAAGGTAACAATCGAGGAACATTGTAAAGTCACGCGACATACAAATACGGGATGCGCCGTTGCCGCGTGACTCATTTTTGGTCGATGTCGCTGTCGCTAATGTCCTCCTTGTCAACTGTGATTCAGTGGGATTATCGACAGCATCTAAGCGTACGGACGCTTAGAAGACGGTTACATAACGCTTAATCAACATGACGAACGATCGACGACGAGAACCGCGCTCGAATGTCCGTCGCAGTAATGCAACGAGATTGCGCGATGCAACGAAGATCTATACCGCGCTGTTTATAGGACAATATCGATGAGTCAGTTATCGGCGAAATTAAATAATCGACACTCTCTCTCTCTCTCTCTCTCTCTCTCTCTCAGCGTCGTCGCGATGTTACATTTGTTTCAGATTTCAACCTCGCGCCGGGATAACGAAGTACTACCAACGAAAAAATGTATCTGGAAATTTGTATCGAAATATCATATAAAATCACTGACGATCTACGCTATTTCACATTTCTCGATAATTTACTAAAGATTTGCATCCATTGATGATTTATATTTTTGTCATTTTCAAATAATTCAACACTCGACGTCGGTATCCGCTCGTGAGAAAGCTGACGGAAAACGAAAAGTGTGTGTCTGAGGAGGGAAGCCCTTTGAAAAATTTATCATCTGATCTCTCGACGATAATACGAATGACGCACTCGATGCGCCAACGCGCCCGCTTATGTGGGTGCGGTGCTTCACCAGCGACTTGACAAATTTCATAGAGCGCGCAGAGAAAGAACGAGAGAGAGAGAGAGAGAGAGAAAGAGTGTGTGTGTGTGAGCGACCCTTCGGCTAATATCGACCTCCTTTTCGACCCAGTGCGGTATCGCACTCACTCACCTCCACTTATTGATGCCGACGTTGGTGCTTCCGGCGAACCAGGGGTCCAGCACGAAGACGCACCGGAAAGTAGACGCGCCCGCCAGGCCCTCCCTCAAGGAGGGATTGTCGTGCAACCTGAGTCCCTTACGGAACCAATGAACCGTATGCTTCCTGCCGTCTCCCCTAACCGACGTCACCCCCTGACCCATTTTGTTGTTACTGCTGCCCGTCATCTTTCCTAAGTGCACCCTGCGGAATGGACATCGATAATTATCCGCGGGATAATTGAGCTCAGAGCTTTCAGAATTGATTCCATTGCCGCTGTCCATTGCCGGCGACGAAGCACCGCGCTGTATTCGCGAAATAGGAACGACGCAGGGCTCGTCGCGGCAGCTCGCCGTCAATTTTCGGTCGCGATGCGCAAATTCAAAAGCGCTGTTCCATTCGATCGGAAACTAAGCGTCTCTCTAAATAAAGCAGTCGTCAACTATATGTCCCTTCGAGAGAACAAAAACGATCTGCGATTATCCGACGCGTTTTGTCTCTCGATGCAAAGAACCTCCGCAAAAAGTGCCTGTTTTTCAATCCCCGATTTTTTAATTTAAAAATTTTTAAGTTAAATTTTATGAGAAATGATAGCTCATGATAAGACATTAGTCACGAAAAAGTTTTACATTGAGCTTATGATTGGTTTCAGAGATATAGAGGGTCAAAGTGGTCACTATCTATTAAGGAAGTTTGACACTAATAACGTTTTATCGCACGAATTTTTGCGAAATTCAGTATCTATGGGTTCTTTGAGTTGCTTATTACGAATTCGATGTTAGATTTAAAAAATTCAAGATGGCGGATGTAATATAGCGCACACAAATGGTGAAACAATTATTTACTTTTATTAGAACTGTTATGTTGTGGTATACACTTTAAAACCGATAACTTCAGAACTGAAGTTTTAGATAACTTTTACTATTATTGGATATAATGATATGTAATTATAAAGTGTCACGGAAACTGCAATGAAAAAACTTCTAAATATGACAAATAAAACTATCACGTTATCCTTGTAACGTGTCAATTTGAATTTGACATTTTTTTTATGAAAAAACAATAAAAGAAATACCTTTTCCACTCAAAAATTGTCGTTGAAAAAATTACTTTCGAAAACCTAATAGAAAATTCTCAATCAGCTAGCCAAAAAAACCATAACATAACAGTTCCAATAAAAGTAAATGATTGTTTCACTATGTGTGTCCGCCATGTTGCACATCTTGAATTTTAAAAATCTCAACATCAGATTCATAATCAGCAACTCAAAGAACCCATAGACAGCGAATTTTGCAAAAATTCGTGCGATAAAGCGTTATTAGTGTCATATTTTCTTAGTAGGTAGTGACCACTTTGACCCTCTCCAAATCCTTGAAACCAATCGCATGCTCAACGTAAAACTTTTCTGTAATTAATGTCTCATCATGAACTATCTTTTGGCATAAAATTCGATTCCAAAATCGAGGACCACCGAAAACGGGCGAAAAATCGACCCTTTTTTCGGAGGTTCTTTAATCGCGATTCAATTCGACCGAAAACTCAATCGACCAAAGATATATTGATTTTCTCCTATTATGATAAATAAAAGATAAAAGTCATCGATGACTCCTCTGAGAGGACCATCTTTTCTCCTTTAACACAGGAATCACGAGCAATTTCTCCACGAGCGGAATGAGGACGATCTGTAATTTTTGGAAGATACTTTCGCTTCCGGAATACATTCCGCATCTAAGGAGAAGAGCACTCACGGTGCTCGGCTTTTCCCTTCCACGAGATCCCGTCTCGATTACGACGACGAGATCGGCGCCGGGAAACGCGCCGTCTCGCGAGCTTCCTCGTGCTATCAATCGTCTCGGAGAAGACGAGAGCCGGCCGGCGCGTCGCCTCGTCGGTGATCTCTCGAAGCCCGAGGAAGTACAGCGAGACGGATCGATTCCCGTGGGAGCCCTTACAAATGTACCTTCCGTACCACTCCCCGCCCGACGAGACGAGCGTTAAAGGTTCCCCCAATCTTCCGTTTGTTTCGACGCTAAGCCGGAAAATAGAAGTCGGCTCGCGTGCGGCGATCTCGCAAGGCCGAGGAACCGGCCGACCGCTTCGATCCACGGAGATTTTGTCACGTGGAAAATTCGAATTCCAGATTTCACCGGATGTATTCTCGCGAGACACCCGCGATGAGGAAGAAAAAGAGAGAGAAAGAGAGGGAGGGAGGGAGGGAGGGAGGGAGACGCCTCGGTTCATCCGCGAACTTGAGGGGAATTGTGTCTTTTCTCCGTCAATCTTCATCGACGTTCAACCTGCGCCTAAACGATCGACACGGAAATCTCCAGAGAGTTTTTCCCTCCCTCTCTCTTTTTTTAAATACTTTTCTTAAATTGCCAACAGCTCTTTCAATATAATGTTAAATATGTAAATAAAAGTGTATTTAGACTCTCGCCGTGTGCGCTTCTGATTCGCTAATAATAAAGAAGAAATCTCCCTTCCGCGAGATTAAAGGACTTCGCTTCGCTCCGAGCGCGATCGACGATAGCCGAGTTTCCTCTCGGTGAAAGTAAGTAAGATACCTGTTTTCGTAACGACGGCTTCCGTAGTTCCGCAAGATTCGAAATCGGAGGTTCGCGGCTATCGCAAATTAGCGCGCAGTACACATACGCGCGTATTTACTTTTATTCTCACGTGGGGCGCGACGTCCAAAATTCCAAACAACGCACATTTCACTCGGAATAACTCGAACACCGCGAAAAGCCCGCGGGGACGAGGCGCGCGAGATCGCTCGCGCGTCTCGCGAGAGATCGAAGACAGTTAAAACAAAACGGCCCGACGGCCGCGGTTAATTTCCCCGGCAACCGATCTGGGGCCCGGAGCATTATGACACGGGTGCATTAATCTCACCCCGCGGCCGCGTTTATATCCGCAGCGACGCGCTGTGAACGAGCGCAAAAGACAAATAAAGAGCGAGAAGAGAGAAAGAGAGAGAGAGAGAGAGAGAGAGAGAGAGAAGGCGGCGAAAAAGCGGAATCGGGGAGAATTCGACAACGAATTTTTACGGTAAGGTAAACGTACTACGAATTACGCCACCTTAACTTGTTCTATGCGTGTAATAAAACGCAGCTGAGTAAAAGTGTTTAAAAACTGCCGGAAAGAAGCCGGAAAGTGAGACAGTGTGTCAAATGACTCCGCTAAAGTAAATATACGAAAATATAATGCGATTTTCCGCGAAAACCAATTTCAAAAGCCTGTATCAAGGATCTGTCACTATTTTCGACTGAATTTGCTTCTAAATGATTACCAATCTATGAAGTGACGTTGTACCTTATAACATGATGAATTATAATATGATAAGATGAGATATTTTTGGGTAGTAATATAAAGTAGTTTCGTACGATTAAACTACAATAAAAGATGATAAAAAGATATAATATTATATAGTTATATGATTTTTATATAATATAATATAGAATGGCGTCATTTGGTACATAAAGTCAAAGTGGCGTAAATTGGGACCGATAATTTCAGTGGGCGTAATTCGGAACATTTGCAGTTCCCGTTTAATTCTTCTATATAAATAAATAATCTTCTTTATCTCTAATTTGTATGTGTATTTTCGCCAGTTTGACAAGAATAACTTTCAATAAGATTCACAGTCTTGCCTCTTTTTCAAAACTAAACTCTCAAAAATTAGTCTCTGCTTAACACGGCCGTAATTCGGTGCGTTTACCTTAACTCTCGATGGGGAGCGCGACGCGAAAATTCGGAGGATCTCGATCGGCGCGTCGCGACTCGCGACGTCGTCGCCGGCGAGCTTCGCATTTTGCACAGGCTTCGAAGCGTCGCTCCGGATCACAATGGAGTCTTCACAGCCACAGCCCTCGGCTTTAAAAAAGTGATGCCCCTGCATTATTAATTGCTGAGAATTATTAAGAGCGGCCGGGCGAGCAAGCGGGACGGATTTATTATTCCGCGACGAGCGCCGTCAACGGGACGAGATAATCAAGATCGATCCCTCGAGCACCCCGCGAGCGCGCACGCTCGCGTCGCAGGGTAACGCGGGGCTGGCTCGAACGTTAGTCACACCACTGCGCCGCACCTCGTTGCACCTCGGGGGTGCGTGCGTGTCGCGCTTCCCGCGCCCGCGCCGGGCGGTGACGACGAAATCACTCGAGATTAGCCCTCGAGATTAGCCTACGCGCGCGCGCGCGCGCGAGAGCTATCTTTCGGCGCATTATTCATGAGCCGCGCGGCGGATCAACAGCCGTGTTTCCGAACGATCTATCGCGGAATTCGTTTCGCCAACGAGGCCGCACGTGGACGCGGACGTGGACGCGCGTCGATAGTGTCCTCCGATTTATTTATTCGCGATCCGCGATAAAAGGACGAGAGAGCGCGAGGCGGCTCCGATTAATCGGAGTAAATCGTTCCACGTCGAGATAATCGCCGCACCTCAGGAGCAGAGCGACCACGCCGCGAGCGCGAGGTGATTCTGTCGCGAGTCGCATCCAAGTCGGATCCAAGTCACTCGCGATGATTTTCGCATTCCGCAACTCCGCGAGACCGGCCGAGGAAGAAAGCAACGTCACGCGCGGCCGTTGCAACGCTCACATAATCGTCCTTTCGTCCGGCTGGATGTGTGATGTAAGTGGGACGGCTCTCTCTCTCTCTCTCTCTCTCTCTCTCTCTCTCTCTCGCTCTCCTCGCATTCGCGCGCGCGATAATGTGCCGATGAAACGACGTGTGCACTCGGCTTGCTGACCGCAGCAAAGGATTCCGCTCGGCGACTCGAGGCGGCCGGCAAAACACCGGCGCGGACGACTGACGCGCGTCGGCAGGAAAAAAAATTTTTATCGCGCGTTGCAACGCGCGTGCACCTCGAACCCTCCCTCCTCTCCTTCCTCTTGTCGCGCGTATGTATATGTAAATTAATAGACAGAGAAGAATCTCTTCTTTCTCTCCTTCGCTCTCGCGTTCTTAGCTCTCTAGTATTTCCGCGTTCGCACGTGTTTTCGATAATATTGATAAGAGAATTTATATAACGTAAAGGAAGACGGGCTGCTTTCTCTGCTACATTATTTTACTTTTAGACGTCTGATGAAGTAACTCGGTCATCATTATCGTCGATTATTTTGTTTTTATTAATCTTACTAATGTCTGTCTAATTTAGCGTTATCGCTTTACGACGCAGGATAAATATTGAATGCTAGCTGGAT